GTGTGTGTGTGTGTGTGTGTGTGTGTGTGTGTGTGTGTGTGTGTGTGGCATGTGTTCTTATGGAGGAGATAGGGTGTTTTTCCATTTTGTTGTGTTGTGTTGTTTTGTGTGTGTGTGTGTGTGTGTGTCTGAGACAGGGTCTATCGTTGGCCTGGGTCTCTCCCACTAGGCTAGACAGTGAATCAGTGAGCCCTAGGAAATGGCCACACCCCCAGTGACAGGATTACATCCGTGCTCTACCACACCTGGCGTTTTGCTTCCTCGTGGTTTCTGAGGATCAAACCCAAGCCTTCACACTTGCATAGCAAGCACTTTCTTGACGGAGCCATGAGTCTCCAGTCTAAAGTTACATTAATTTAACAAAGTAGTCTTAGCTGACTAAACATCTCCTTCTGCCCGGTTGCTATAATCCCCTCTCTGTATCGGCAGAATCGACCAAGACAAACCTGCTCAGGAGCCAGACGGCCACCCCCAAGAGCTGCAGTGACATGAAGCCCGAGCCCACCTCCAGCTGCTGCGACGGTGAAGGTGCTCTGAGTGACAGAGGCAAGCCCGAGCAGGGTCCGACCCCGGGAAACCTTAGTCATCTTCCTGCCCACTGTTCGCGCCTGAGAGACCAGGGTGGGGTATGCTTGGGGGAGAAAGGAGGCCATGCTCAAAATGTCGCAGATTCTTCCCTCAGAGGCTCCCTGTGAGTCGGGTAAACGTGCTTCAGAGCACTGGGTTTTCTCAGGGCCTCATCTGGGCTACTTGTGACCAGTGCCCAGCGCTCTGTGGTGTGCTCGGCATGTTTGCTACGGTTCTGCGCTTGAATCGGAAACTCTGATAGCTCAGAGTAGGCTAAGCCGTCTCCCTTTGTAGTGCTGCCACCAGTCAGCCTCTTTCCGGTTCCAGTTGTCAGACTTTTTGATGTGAAGCCTGAAGAAAGTGTGGCTTGCCCACCCAGTGACTAATTATGAGATGGGTCTTCTTTAGACAGCGAATCGAATAACTCACATCCTACAGTGTTCGCCCTGCATTTCGATAGTTAATTAGCAAACGCCAAGCACAAACACAGTCCTCTAAGAAGATGGAAGCACCTGGGCGACAGGTGTGCGCCTGTGCTACCTTGTCATATTTGAATCAGACTCTGTTTTCTTCAGTGCTGCTGTGTGGGAAATCTTGCCAACTACCTTGCATGTCCCCGGCCAGCTGCATGCCTTCTGCTAGTGTTCATGCTCTGAGCCAGCTGCATCAGTGCGCTCTTGATGGGACTTAGCCCACAATGAGTAGAACAAGGTTTCTTAAGTGCGAGGCCACCTCACACCTCTGCTTTCCTTCCAGCTGCTGCTGTCCAGTGAAGGAATATTCCTCTCCATTGAGAAATTCAAGTTTATATAAGGATGTACATTTAAAACCCCAAATACTGAGTTCAAAACTTGAACTTAATGATTCGACAGAATCTAATAGTCCCTGGTTGCCCTTTCTAAGCGGAAGAACCATGAAACAAAGCGTCCGAATTGGAAATGTTGGTCCAGTTGCTCCTCTCATAGTTGTGTAAGGGGCGGGGCTGGAGGGGATGATTGTTGAGCAATGGCTGGTAAACCATGGTCTTGTTAAACATTTTAAATGTGAGTTTTGGAGAGGGGGAGTACGAGTGCATTCTCCCACGGAGAGAGCCCTCACTGCATGGCAGGCAAGCCCTGGCTGAGTCACCCATGCCTGCAGCTCCAGGCGAAGCTGCTGATGCTCTTTGCTGAGAGCCATAAGTTAAGCCATGGGCCTCTGAAGTGTGGGCCGCCATCAGCCCTCCCCCTGAGTGCACGTGCTCGGTCCCTGACGTCAGCCCCTCTATACACAGCTGCCATTTCACTCCACAGAAATGAACATCCTGCTGATGAATAAGTACCTAGATGACAAATGGTCAGAAAGGCTCATTGGAAGTAGAAGCCAAGACGTTGACATCATGTGAGTGCGTTCATCCAAGGAGGACAAGTTCTTCCTGGCTTTGTCTGTGAATAACTAAGTTGCAAGTTCTAAACTCTGCAACCATGTTTCTTAGCTTTTCAGACAGGTCCTCTGAAAACTGGCTGAAAACCCACGGCCTGGTGGCCAGGAAACTCACCATCATGGATGCCTTGGCCGGAAGCACCGTGATCCACAGATCCATCTATGTCCCTGTCCTGAATAAGCACGTCGTCTCCAGGGTCTTTGATGAGGTAATGCGATGTTCTGCGCGCCCATGTTCGAGGGGAGGATTTTGTTTTTTAGTTTTCTGCTTAAATAAAAAGTAGCCTGCTTGACTGTCTTGAGCAGCTGTAACAGACATGCACGGGAGAGTTATGTATGAATGGGAGAGGGGAGAACTGGGGAGTCTTAGGACCCCTCCTTATAGGGTGGAAAGAGGCGGCCTTCGGTGGGCTGGAAGTCTGCAGCTCCCTACTTCCTGGGGGTGGGGACGGGGTGGTGGATCTGCGGGGTCCTCTCCGTGTCATTTATGAGTGGGCATCCAGGAACAGAGGGACTGAGAACAGGGAGGCCCTGCCTCAAAGATGGGGCCCTCTCTTGTCTTTTTTGAATGACATTTTGCTCCATTCTAAAAAGCCACCACAGGCAAGAAAGGAGGGGCACGAGGAGGATGAACTTGAGGTAGTCATGTTCCTTCAGTGTGGGAGTGTGGTTGGGACGTGGCCTTCTAAGTATACTTAGGCCCGGTTGGCCCTGGTGTCTGTGAGCCTTTCATCTATGGCTTCAGCCAATCTTAGATGGAAAGTTGCGCCCGTGCCAACGTGCTCGTTTCCCCATTGCTACCTAGCCGGCCACAGTAGGTTGTGGTGACGCTGGTTACCATGCTCTCCTACTTTGCCTCAAAGCTCCAGAGGCAACAAAGCTGAGAAAACACAGGCTCATCTCTTCCAGGAAGTGTGGTGATGTTTTCTTCGAATCCTGTGTATTTCTTTTATTAATGTGCTTGGGATTTCTTGGGAAGAAAAACCTGTTTAATGACTTCTCCCTGGAAGTGGAATTTCTTTTTTCAGGCCTATATCATTCCTCTTTGTAACTTGAGATACATAGGAATAGAGGTTTCTCAAAACAAATGTGGCAGGCTAGGGAAATACAAGCATGGGATCAAAACCAAAAAAAAAAAAAAAAAAGAAAAGAAAAGAAAAGAAATTATAAGGAGAATATTTATCCCCTAACTACATCAAAATGGACCGTTACAGAAGAGGGAGTTGGAGGCAGAGGAGACTACGAGAAAAAGCGCTTTCCGGATGCAGCAGGGCAGTTGCACATATGAACTAACAATGGTTGAGGCAGTGATCACAAGGCCTATGCGAGCTCAAACCAGTACAAACCCCGGCATGGACAAAATATTGCCATTAGCTGAGGCGCTATTGGCAATTAATAGCTTTCTGGTAGAGGGAATGTTAGCTTTCTTTACAGTGTGGCTCCTGGTAGGCCGAACACACTCCGATGATTGACCCCACACCCAGGAGAACGTTTGCAACCTAAATAGACTAAGTGGATTTAGAAAATGGTTAGGGTACAAAGATGGGCAGGGAGGGAAGGGAGGGCCGATCTGGGAGGAATTAGAGGAGGGGCATGAATATTACCAAAATACATTCTTCGAAATTCCCAAAGAATTAATAAAAATGGCATCCTGCATAAAAGCGTATGAAGTAAAGGCAGTTGTAAGAAAACGTTTGTCACACATACAGTGAAGAAAGGTCATAAGAATTACACTGTTAATATGCATGCGTGGTTCAGTATATATCGTTACTCATGTTCAGCCTGTTTACACACACATATGCACCCTGGGAAGGACCACAAACATGATAAACACTCCACTGAAAAATCTGAGAAGGGGAAAAAAGCCAAAGGACACTCAAAAAGAGCTAACTTCAGGGGCAGCCAGATACATGAGGTAGGAAAATACAAAGGAGAAACTAATTGGATACCCTTTTCTCCATCACACTGGAAAGGTTGAAGATCTGAGAGCCAGTGAGATGGCTTGGGGGGCGAAGGCATCTGGCACCAAATCTGCCTTGAGTGGAAAGGAGGAAAGTTACTCCTGCAAGTTCTCCTCTGGCCTCTAAATAAGAGAGTAGAGCTTTAACTGATTAAGGACTTTCAACTAGGTCTTGAAGCAATGGGAGAGGATCTTTCCCCCTGTGGGAGAAAGTTAACCCCCGGCTTTTTGCTGCCAGGGAAAAGATGGTGCAGAGATGCGACACCGAGAACACAGGAAGGTCAAGAGGCAAGGAGCCCGCAGGGACAGTGGGCATAGGGGGAGGCTGGAATGGAGTCCTATTGATGGGGCTGAATGACGGGGGCAGAGAGAGAAAGGTGTCCAGAGGAATCATACACCCCACAGAGGCCCGCTCCACGGATGGACCCAGCAATGATACATCTGCCCCATGGAAGAAGGAAATTAGATCAACAGCTCTCTCCCTGGAGAAACATCAGTTCAAAGTGGATCAAAACCCTGGGTTTAAACCACGAAACATCAAAACTGCTAGAGGAAAACACAGGGAGGTCATTTCAAGTCATAGGTACAGCCAAGAATGTTCCAGACAAAACTCCAGCAGCACCAGGAATCTGGCCCAAGAATCAATGAATGGGATGACAGATTAAAATGTCTCTCAAAAGCAAATATATATATAATCAGAGCAAACACACAACCCATAGGATTGGAGAAAAATCATTGTCGGCTGTTCTTCAGACAGGAGGTTGGTGTCTACAATATGTAAAGAGCTGAAAGGATTAAACACTAAAACAGTGAAACTTCCTATTGAGAAGTGGAATGATGAAACGAACAGACAGTTCTCCAAATGGGAAATACAAAATGGGCAAGAAATATTTTTAAAAGCCCTCGACATTCTTAGTAATCAGGGAAATGCAAATTAAAAGCGCTTTGATCGTTCCATCTTGCCCCAGTCAGAATGGCTCACATTGAGAAAACAAATGGCAACAAATGCTGGCGACGCCGTGGAAGCAGAGGCCTGAATCGCCCCTGGGAGGAGTGGACTAGCACAGCCATTATGGAAGCATTTCTCAAAGGTTAAAAGTAGGACTATGATTCGCCCTGAACGCACTACCCAGAGGACTTTATGTTCTGTTGCAGAGATGGTGGTAGCTCTGTGCTCATTGCTGCTGCCATCACAATATCCAAGAAGCAGAAACAGCCCACGTCATTCAGCAGATGAGTGGAAAGTGAAAATGTGGCGTATATAATAGATGGTGTATTCCTTGGCTGTTAAAGAAGAAACGAAGTGAGGATCTTTGCGGGACATGTGTGGACCTGGAAAGTATTCTTTGAAATGAAGTGACCCAGACTCAGGAAGACAAACATGATGTGCTCTCCTATGTGGAGGCTGTGTCAGTTAATGTTTTTCTGTTGCTGACAAAGGTCATGACCAAAGCAACTTAGGAAGAGAGAATTTTGGCTTATGGTTCCAGAGGGATCAGAGTCTATCACGGTGGAGAGGCGTGGCAAGAAGCTGAAGGCAGCAGGCACGGCCAGCGCAGGAAGCCAAGAGCTCACGCCCTTTACTGCAAGCACACACACACACACACACACACACACACACACACACAGAGAGAGAGAGAGAGAGAAGACAGACAGAGAGAGACAGAGAGAGAAAATGTGCCAGTGGTGCAAAGCCCACCTCTGCTGAAATCCTTTCCGCAGCAAGGTCACATCTCCCACATATCTCCAAACAATGCCCCTAACTAGGAACCAAGTATTTAAATGCTAAGACTGTAAGGGACATCTCATCCAAATCGCCATGGATCCTAACTTTTAATACTTATAGTATTTACAAAATATGAGAACAGATACAAACTACGAAACTGGGTAGGAGACCATGAGGGGAGTGACAGCTTTCAGGGAAAGGCAGGAGGGCAGGGCCCCACGTGACACATACTGGAGGCTATTGCTGATGGAAGAGGGTGAAAGAATGGAGGAGGAGAGGAGAGTAAAGATAAATATTGTTTGAAAAATACCACAATGAAAGCAATATATTGCACGCTAATGAAGACTGGATGCCAGCCTGGATTGTTAGGAAGGGAAAATTTGGGAGGAGCAGGAGTTAGGGTCCTGATCTTGAGGAGAACATTCTAGCATGTCACTTCCAGGAAGTAAGGCCAAAGGAAAGGGGCTGGGCATTCCCCCATGGGTACTTGTGTTTGATACCCTTGGTGGCACCATCCATTCTCGTCACAGACAGACAGGATGGTGCTCTGCCTGGCAATTTACCCTTTGTCATTAACAAAAAGGCAAAAATTAGATAATGATAGAGGTAGACCATGATAAATTTCCATCTCCAAAGAGTAGTTTGTCTTTAAAGTTTGACTTTGTTGGACAAATAATAATAATATATGTTTATAGGGCACAATGGGATGGTTGATAACAGTGTGCAATGTGACATGATTAATTCAAGCCAATTAGACTATCTGTCACCTTGTTAACTGTGATTTTTTTGATTCATTTTTAAATTATGAATATGCATATGTGTATTCATATAAGTGTAGTGCCCACAATAGCCAGTAGAGGGCACTAGATTTCCGGAGCTGGAGTCACTGGTTGTGAGCCACCAGACATGGTTGCTGGGAACTGAACCAGGGTTTTCTGCAAGAGTAATTGCTCTTAACCACTGAGCCTTCTTTCCAGCTCTGTTTGTTCCTTCCTTCCTTCCTTCCTTCCTTCCTTCCTTCCTTCCTTCCTTCCTTCCTTCCTTTCTTTTCTTTCTTTCTTTCTCTCTCTCTTTCTTCCTTTTTTCTTTCTTTTTCTTTTCTTTCTTTCTTTCTTTCTTTCTTTCTTTCTTTCTTTCTTTCTTTCTTTCTTTCTTTCTTTCTTTCTTTCTTTCTTTCTTTCTGTGATGAGAGTTTATGATCTCACCTGTATGTAGAGTCTAACAAAGTGGAATTCTGGTGGAATGCTGGTTCCAGGGGCTGCCGCGGAGGGAGTGGGGAGAAAGGCAGTGGGAAGCTGTCGATCAAAGAACACAGACTCTTAGAACAGGTTTTGAGATCTATTGCACAGTAGTGATTTCAGTAGCAAATGATGTAGTACGTGTTGCAAAATGACTGCAAGAGTAAATTCCAAATACCTTCTGTTTATATCTTTTATTCCCTAATATTTCCTTAGGATGGAAGAGATCCTCAGATATAAATGAAAATAGTAAACAATACACTAAAATGTCTCCCAGCTTATTAGATTTGTTAGAATTCAGATCATTTTGTGAAAAACAGATGGAGCTGGCAGGCAGCTGGGCCTGACTCTTACCCCTGCGCTGAGGCTTTAGCCCATCCTCCTCTGTTCAATGCATGGCAACATCTGTACGGGCCAAGAAGCAACGTCTGGTGTTGTGGGGACTCTTTGTTTCATTCATGGCTTATTTGGGGATTCTTTCTTCTCCTGAAGCACAATACTGCTTTGCTTTCCAGTTCTCTGGGCCAGTATCAAATCTGTCACCTTGGAAATGAAGGGCTGAGCAGAAAGGTTTCCCTAGCAACTGTTCATTACAAGGTATAAAATAGGCCAGATAATTTTATCTTAGCTTTCTCAAAAAGATAAATTCATCACCAAACCAGACACAGAATAAATTGCCTTAGCCATCAGAGCTCCTTATTGATAATTGCTTTAAAAAAGAGAGAGAGAGAGAGAGATTGAAATAATTTAGGAAGATTGCCTGCAACCATCATCATGTTCTTATCTTCATCATTGTCGTTGTCAATTATCGTCGTCATCATCATCATTGTTAATCATCCTCATCTTTATCTCTATCATCACCATCGTGTCAGTTATAGCATCCCTTCTAGGCCTTCTGCCTTGTCCTCTGGGTTCTATACATAGCTTTGTGTCATTAGCTACCACCTTCATCATTTACTCCTGGAAGACTATGGCGAGGTCCCATAACTGTTAAATGATGACGACTTATCATGTACCAGGCTCTGAGGAAAGCATTGGACGTCACCAAAGTATCTGCCCTAAATCCTAGAGCAGCCTGTGAGGTGTCTACTCATCTTGCCATTTGGCTGATAGGAACATCAACTACAAAGAGATCAGGGAGATTGTTTAAATCTTAATTCCATGCTTTCAAGTTTAGAAGGGTTTTTTTTATCTCCCCAGCCTTCAGGAGACTGATCAGGAGAACAGCTGAAAGTTCAAAGCCAGCCTGGGCTACATAGTGAGGTCTAGGCCAGTCTGGGCTACAGTGTGAAACTCTGTCAAAAACAAACAAATAAACAAACAACAAAAAAAAAACCAACCCAGAATACAAAACAATAAATACAGGAGGATTAAACATAAAACTACTGATTGGAAAATTTAAAAATTTTAAATGAAAGTGATTAATATATATATATATATCACACAGAATGATGAAACAATATTGATAGGTGAAAAAGAAGCAATGGGATGGCCAGGCCTTTTTTGATATGTACATGCCCTTTGTTTTCCCATCAGGCTTTCACCCCAGTGACATCACACTGAGTACAACAGTGTTTTGTGCCTCTGTCTTCACTCAGGTGTCTGTCAGCATCACTAATGTCAGCAATTGCTTCCCCCCCCCCCCTTTTTTTTTTTTTTTGGCTCAGCAATTAAGAGCCTGGCTTCTCTTCCAGAAGGTCTGAGGTTGATTCTCAATACCAACACGGTGGCTTACAACCACCTGCAAACTCCAGTTCTAGGGGATCTGACAGCCTCTTCTGGCCTGTGCACGTACCAGGCTCACACATCATGCGCAGACATACATGCAGGCAAGATACCCATCACATAAAAACTAAAGATAACAACTGTTTAATGGACAGTTCATTTTGCCATGTAACAAAAACTATAAATGTATTTGTCTCTAATTGGCTTGAATGAGAACATATGTAGAGAATGCCTCGGTTTTTCTTGGAAGAGAGTGAAGATAAATTCTATTGTTATTGTATCATCATAAAGCTATTTTTCAGTTATTCGTTCAAGGTATTTCATCTAACAGTCGGAAAAATTATACAATCATCCCAATTTCACCCACACATGAATTCTAGAAATGTCTGCCTCTACAGCCTGATATCTCTCTAATCTCTCCCTCCTTGTCTCATCCTCCTCTCCCTCGACACACTCACACCTCTGGTCTACCCCCTCATGATTCAGTTCATATCTAAGGGGTAGTTATCAATATGGATGTGATGAGGGCTCTAGTTTTGCCTCAGAGAACTAGAGTAGATGACGCTGTAGGCTTCCTCTTATTATCAAATATTGTCTGGGAGGGTTCCCCCAGCTGAGTTATAAACGCATTTAAGGAAGCCATTCTCCAGGGGGGCTGTGACCACACGCCTTTATTCCCTCTCAAACTGAGCCCTCAGCGCCTTCGCAAAGCCTGCTTCCCTCCGGGCTGGTTTCTCTGAGGAGCTGGGCAGCCATGACTCTGAGCCCCCGAGCCTTGGAATGCCCCCTTGTGACACTAAACCTGACATCATAAAGAGGGTGAATCAATTCATCTGGCCTTTCAAGTAACCACCATGTTGTAAAAGCTAAGGCCAAACTCTGAAGGTGTGGAGTATGCCTTTGTGTTCCCCTAGTCCTTCACACAGAAAGAAAGAAGAGTGGGCACCCGCCAGTCAGATCTGAACAGCTGTGCTCAAGTCCATGGCGGCCATGCAAGGCGTGAGACCTAGATCTACCAAGGAGGGAAGGAAGTACAGTGTGACTTTGCTTTCGGTTAAGTAGGCCAAGTGAGGACTCTGACGAAGCCTTTCTCGGTGCTCATCTGTCATTGAGCCCTACCCTGGTAACCGGGAGAGACACATGCAGACTTCTAAAGGGGAATCTTCCCCCAGGCCACAGAGAATTGTTGGGCTTGATAGTTTTCCTCTCAAGTTTTGTGACATTGCTCTATTTTGAAGGATTTTTTTTTTTTTTACAAGCTTATGCAATCTTCAGTTTGAAAGCCCAGGCGTCTCACATTTGACCCCCTGTTCTGTTTCCTTCCCTTTGAAAGGAGTGCTCAGTGGCCACACGCTGCCTCTGTGTGGTTTGTGAGTAGCTGGTTGAACTCCGAAGCTCTGAATTTCAAGCCTTTCTCTTCCATTTTCTGACCTCTGCATCTTTTGCTTATGTGGGCCCTAATTTAATTCAAGAGTGAATACATGTAGCTTAAAAGAACTAAGCAGTAAAATTGTTACAAGTCTCACCTTCCTCCTGTAACTCCCAAGTTTTAGAAGCAACTATTTTTGATAGTTTTAAGCCCAATGTTAGGCATATTTTACTTTTAAAGGTAGTTGAGGTCCTAAAAGTGATATGTAGGACTTCCATGGCACTTTTGTTTGTTTGTTTTGGTTTGTTTTGTTTGCAGCAGGGTTTCTCTTTGTAAATCTGGCTGACTTGGAACTCACTCTGTAGACCACGCTGACCTCCAGTTCAAAGATCTGCCTGCCTCTGCCTTCTAAATTCTGGGGTTAAAGCCACTATTGCCTGGCCTCATGCCATCTTTTATCTTTTTATTATATCTCAATACAAAAGATACTAAACCATGTTTTTAACCTAAAACAATACTGTTTATACTGTTAAAGAAAACATTCATAAGGGTACAACCTTTATTCTGGGGATTGAAAATGGAACTTGGGGACAATTGTTACATCTTTTGGCAGCTTCACAGCAGCTCCCTGCTGTGGGAGCTGACCCGTGAGAAAGAGCTTGAACAGCCACAACCTTCTGTACAAATACCCAGACCATCTGGAGCACACAAATGGCCCCATCCTTCCAAACAGCTTAACTTTGGCTAGGACTAATCACAACTGTTAATAAGTGGTGCCTTTCCATCCATTTTTTTTAAACAGCTATCGACACAGCAACTGTTTGTGAAACCTCCACACTAGCTGTTTTAGCTTGATTGAAAGTAAAATGATGTCCTTATCAGAAGCGATTTCTTGGGGCTGGAGAGATGGCCCAGTGGTTAAGAGCACTTGTTGCTCGTGCAAAGGATATAGGTTCGGTTCCCAGCACCCACATGGTGATTCCTACCCACCTATAACTTCAGGTCCAGAGGGCCGGATGCCCTCTTCCAAACTCCACAGGCCCCAGACATGCAAGTGAGGTGTGCGCACACACACACACACACACACACACACACACACACACGCAAGACATACGATAAAACGAATAACTCTAAAAAGCAATTTCTCTCAGTTCTAGAACACTTAATGCCTCCTGTGATTGGAATCATGCAATTTTGAACCATCAATAGTATAGTTTAGTATCTTCCCGCCAGACATTTTTCTTTTCATTTACTACTACGTATGGAATATAAACATTTAAAATTGTATGTATTATATGTAATATGTATTATAAATTTTATATATGGGTTCAATTTCTTATTGTCTAAAAGTTTTTATTGATAAAAACTCCTACAGATAATACTCAGTTATGAAAAGGGCTTCCTGAAACGTATTTTTTCTGTTGCTTTTGTTTTATGGTGGTGATTTTTAAAATGTATAGCTTCTAGAACTGGAAAAGAAGGCTGGTACTTGCGTCTCTTACCTTGGCTTTTAAGATTTACTGCGTTCTGCGGTTCTACGCTGGTCGTGTTTTTTGTAGCCGGGGACGCGTGTTCCCACACAGACGCAGCTATGAAGGCTCGATTAACCTGCCAAGTGACACCCTCGTCTCTGTTGCCGTTGCTCTGCAGGTGTTCCCTCTGACACACGTGTGCAATGACTCCAATAAGATTCTATTGATTAACCCCCAAGGAGCCAACCTCAATCTCTACAAGCAAAATGTGGAACTGGCCATTAAATCTTATGAAAAGTGAGTACCCTTCACAAATGCTCTCGGTAGAGGTTTTGTTTCCGCTTCTTTTCTCTTGCGTTAGCTTAGACTGCTTCATCTGGAAGAGCCTGGAAGTCGCCCTCCCCCCCCACCAACACCAGCCACCAAGTGACAGCTCACGTCTCCTTGGGTGCTGGATGTGGCACCAGGTTCCTGAAATAAGGCCCCTTCCCATCCTAAACGCTGTAGAAATCTCCTGTTTCCAGGAAACCACCAATATTTCCCTCTGAATGCAACAGAATGGATCACATTATCACCTAAAATTTTGAAAAGCAGCTAACGAACGCCACCGTAGTGACACCATAGCCTTCTCCCATTCAACCACCACAGAACGAGACACTCGGGAAAACAAATGGTGTCTGACCCGAAGCTGGGCAGAGTTTGCTTTCTTGTCACATTTCTCCACATACAAAACAAGTAGACACAGAGAGCTTCCACGGTCCTGAGTGCGACCTGCTAGCAGCTGACTCCCTGGAAAGCAAATGCAGTAAGATCTGAGTGTCCATGCTCCTGGCGAATGTGTGGCCACTAAAGGGGAGTCTTGGGCCCAGTCCACCATGAACACTGCAGGCACCCTGTAAGCATGGGTAGGGTGCATGCTTTCCTATCAAGATGGTAGCCAAGCTGACTACAGGAGAGTTCTGCGCTCACACAGTCCCTGTATCCATGCTGAGATGGAGCCGTCCCTCAGGAACAGGCGACCTGGTTGTCACCCTTGCCATGACCGAATCACCCACACACCTGCCTGGACTTCGTCCTGAGTGCACACACTTAGGCGAGCCTCGGAGGTGCCCAGCTTCTATGGAAGCTTATTCTAGACTCTGGAAGCTCTGCAGTTGGGTTTTAGTGATCACCACATGAGAAGGAGTAAAAGGCACCCAGACGTCAGTTGATGTGGCCAAGACGCCTGCCGCTCTGTGCCTTTTAACTTAGAGTGGGGTGGGCCCAGTGTGTCCCGAGAGCCCAGCTCCTACCCGCAGGGAGCCACAGGCAACCCACAGAAAGGCCCTTTCCCAGCCCTGCATGGCCTCGAGGGTCTCCTTCACCAAGACTGGTACCCTCTCACGGGAGCCCCTCCAGTGGTCTTTATAGTCCTTAGCACTCATCCAAAATGAAAGCGTCAGGAGAATTTCAGGTTTTCTTCCTTGTCCTTGAGTATTTGCATATGCATAACGAGGGGGTACTTTCAGCATTAGAGTTAAGCTCAAGTCCATACCGTTTGAAATGATTTCGTGGCAGAAACAAAGTCTTATGGCATGGATGGGATTTCCCACTTTTATCACACTGGTACTCAGAAAGGTTAGGATTTGGGGGCTTTGCCGTTGCTGCTGTTTGCATTGGGGTGCTCCGGTTCTTTGCTGCATCTGATTGTTGGTAGCAAGGTGAGGGGCTAACCTACTCTCTCTCTCCTCCCCGGGTCTGGTGCTTGCATGCAATCGTCTCCTTAACCGACTGTTGTTCGGCCATCCCTCGACTGGTCCTTTATGCTGACCTCCACAGAGAAGCTCTTTGTACCCTCCCTAACCACTGCCCTGTTTTGTGCCCTTTGCCATGCTCTCAGCCGCTGCACAGCCCGCAGCTCACTGACATTCTGGTCTGCTGGTTTATAGCCAAGCTGGCCTTGCTTTCCTGTTTATCTTGTTTGTATTAGCAGCCTGTGCAAATTTGACAATTTGAAATCCATTCAAATTTGATATAATTCCAGTTTAGTTATTAAAATGTTCAAATTTTATTTGTGGATTCACACACAAATAAAATCCCATTCAAAATTCTAATGTAGTTTGCTTGGCTGTTTCAGCTAAGCTGAGCTCTGTAATCGCTTGGCTGGCCAACATCTGCTTCAGAGCCACAGGCCAGAGCCTGGAGGTCAGGCAGCGCTTGCACGGTCCAGCCTTAGCCCTGATGCCTCCGTCTAGGCAAGCTTGTCCCATTCGTGACAGCAGATAACTTACTTAAGGAACCCACGTGGCAGGGGTGTTGGGGGGACTGCAAATCACGCGTAAGGAGCTCCATATGGACACGCCTCCTGGACTGAGCCGTTGCCTCTCATGCCACCATAACCGTGAGTGGCACAGTTGCCCCTTGGCTCTCCTTGCTGACCTTTTCCTGAGGGCTTCAGAAAGGAAGGAGACCCTGTTCCCAAAACAACATTCCCCCAAGGGAAAAGCCCAAACACAGAGTCAGTGCTTTGTCCCCGCAGGGAGCTCTCGAAGGATCTTTTACCACAAGAGTATCGTAGCTACAAGTTGATGCCCCTGAATTTCTGAGTGTCCATAATGGTGCCACATATGGTAAATTCCACTCCTGATCCCGGGTGAAAGACCACAGTTAACATGGGGTGCGTACTAAGAACTGTGGGTAAACTTACTTCCGGGCTGTGTATAAGGTAGATAAAAATGTTAAACAAATTTGTCTTTGGACTTGGGTCCCTCCTTAAGATAGCTCATTATGAGCATGCAAACATATTTCAAAATCTAAAATCCCAAACATTTACAGCCCCAAAAATTTTGAATAAGAAATATTCAACTTGTACTTTCAGTAATAATTCTTACAGTAGCTTTAGTCTGGCTGGTGTTTAATATTTAAGTCTATTCGTTTAATTGATTTGGGTTTATTACCTCGGTGTTTATATAAAGGGTACTTAATATTACTTCAGTAGCATTAACGGTAATGATATTATGTTAGAACAAACTTTCTGGGCCTTTGAATTCAATAGTACTGGGGAATTCTGTTTGTATAAATGTCAGTCCCCCCCTTTTATGTATTTTGTCATTGTGCAGCTTTCTCATCACATGAAGATGACGAGGAACAGACCCACACACTGTCCCTCATTCACTGTCACATCTCTTTGATGCTTTCCCCCAAAGTGGGCCAATGTCACTTTGAAAATAAACGGCGTCATACATTTATAAATCCATTCAAGCTAGGGATGGCCAAGCAAACGGAAGTTCACAGGATGATATAAACGAGCTATTTTGGACACAGTGTCCATGGGTGGGCGTCCTTCTGTTCCGGTATTTCAAGAGTCTGGGTTTGTGTGTCTGAACATAAGCTGGAATGTTTCTAGGGCTGTCTGAATCGGGAGGCAGTATTTTCCTTGTAGCTTTTTTTGATTGCCAAAGTCAAGATCACGGCCCTCACATCCACAGGAGGTCTCAGTTCTGGTCTGGCTCTGGGGCCCTGCTTAGATGACTCTGCTCAAGGTCGTCTCTTTGCCGCTGGTCCGGTTTATGGGGTGCCGATAGCTACACGTTGCTTTTCAGACAAGTCATTTCTTGCTGCAGCTAGAGCTCCAGCCAGCCAGTGGATGCAAACCAGCAGCCAGAAGTAAGGGCCTGGACTTGCTAGAGAAAGGCCTCACATCCAATGTCCTTCACCAGTGCTGCAGAGGAGTGCTCATCACGTACTCTTGGTGGCTTTGCTGTGGTCGCCGCACCAACTCAATAAACATTGGTATTTTAACAATACGGATGGACAAAGGGGGACATAAATCTTCAGAATTTGTGTCCCCGGAAAGAATTTTCTGAAGGATTAAGTTAGAATTCAATCCACACTGTCTAACTGGACCCACATCACCAGTGGTCTGTCCATGTTTCTGGGCTCGCCCGTGTTTCTGATCCACCAGAGGAGATGTTCCTGGTACCTCACCTAGGTGTTCCTGGTATACCTTCCCACCTCATCCTCTCAGTTCTTTATCCTCTCAGTCCTCGAAGACAGGTACTGCTAGCCTTGTTTCATCCCTGAGAAAGCAGGGCTTCAAAGGATTCTGTCAGACAGGATCACAAAGCAGCCGGGGCTGGAGCTGGGTGCAGAGCTTGACCCCAGATCTGTGGGGCCCTTTTGCTCTCTGTCAGCTCCCATGCTACGCTGAGTCTGCTTTCAAGTTTAGATAGAAGAGAATATTGAATATATTTTAAGAAAAGCACAGACAACCAAACTCTCAGAAGCCCTGGTCATTGTTACAGGAGCCAAGTGGCTAAAGAAACCTAGTTTCCTAGCAGAACCTAACTTGAACCTTCAAGTAAGACAAAGCACTAGCTAGCCCAGTTCCTTCTTCCTGACTCTTTTTCAGTTTGAAATCCATTGATTTTATTTTGTGTGTATGAGTGTTTTTCCTGAATAATATGTGTGTCTGTCTGTCTGTATGTACATGCCTGGTGCCCTTGGAGGTAAGAAGAAGGCATCAGAGTCCATGGAAAGAAAGTTAAGGATGGTTCTGAGCCACCAGCAGATACTGAGAAGTAGGAGCCACAGTGCTCTTGACAATGTCAGACACAATACCTAGGCTGTGCAGAAACCAGCTCAGCATCTTCCTAACTACCCCAGAAAGAGACTTCCTTGTCATCCTGAGTGAACCAGCCCAAAGTCTCACAGGAATGAGAGAAGCTGAGCTCTGGGTCTCAGCACTGTGGCTACTCTCCCATACGAGCCGTCCTTGCCTGGCCTCCCCAGTCCCTCCAGGCTCATGATGGACAAACAGGGCAGAATAGCACCTCCACCCAAGGTACATTCTCTGGGTGCTGTGCTGACGCCAGCTGGCCTCAGCAGTCAGAAGAGCACTTTCTGTGCAAGGTGATGTCTCCTATGCCACAAGCCTTGGAGCCAGTGTTCCGTCCCCTGCTGTTCACAAAGCCGAGGTGACAGCATAGTGTCGCAGACTGGTCTGGATCCATTGAAAGGCGCATCATTGATTGATAACAAGGACCACTACTGCAACTGCCCTTCCTCTCGGCAGCAGGGGCTTCAGTTCCCCTGCTGCCAGCTGGCCAGGTGGGTGCTTGAGGAGCTCCTCCTGACTTCCCTGCTGCCATCCAGAAAATGAGGCGGGCAGACTGGGTGGTTTATAACGTGGGTCTGAATATGTAGCCTACAGTCCCATGGGCTCCCTTTGCTTTCTGATTCCAGGCAGAAGGTGTCTACAGAGGCAAGCTGAAAGCAGTTACATTTCCTTAGGGAGGAATCTGTAGGGCCGGAAACGTACTTTTTAAATATAATTTTGAATTACATTTATGGAGTGTGTGTGTATGTGTGTGTGTGGATGTGCATGCACATATGTGTGTGTGTGTATCTGTGTGCCACAACCCACAGTGCGTATGTAGAAGGTAACTTGAGGGAGTCACTTTTCATTTCCTACTACGTGGGTCCTGGGGGATCAAATTTGGGGTCAAACACCTTTACCAGCGGCACCATCTTGCCAGCCAATGAGAAAGTTCCCAGTACAGAGAGGGTGAGGACCAGCTTGCTTACAGTGTTTTCCTGAGAGCAAAGCTTCCTTAGTGTCTGACACAAGTCCACAGGCTTCCTAGGAGGAAGATGTCTATGTGACCCAAGTCAATGGTTCTCAATCTGTGGGTCGTGACCCTTTGGGGGGGGTCTCATATCGGATATTTACATTAGGTAGTAGCAAAATTACAGTTATGAAGTAGCAAAGAAATAACTTATGGTTGGAGTCACCACAACGTGAGGACCTGTGTTGGAGGGTCCCGGCATCAGGAAGCTTGAGAACCACTGCTTAAGTGGATGCCAGTTAGCATGGTCCCATCAAGGCTGGCAGGCGCCTCGGGGTCCCCTTGTAACCATCCACAGAGCCTGAAGCCAGCTCTTTCACTTGAAACAAATTATTGTTTCTAAATTATTGTTACTGCTTTTTTTTTTTCAACAGGCGTTTAAATAAAATTGTCTGGCAAGCTCTGTCTCAAGAGGAAAAAGAAAAGTAAGTTGCTCCATTCCCACCTGGGACCTTGAAATGCTCGTGAAATTTGCATAACCAAAACCAGCTATTCCAAAGCATACGGCCCAGTTGGCTATCAAGTGCGCAATATCCCCAAATAGCCACCACCCCAGAAAAAGACTAGTGCTTACCCATAAAGCAACTTTTGCCCATGCTCTCTTCTCCAGCCCCCACTGACTCCAGGCTGCATTCAGTTTCCATGGGGCTGAGGGTTCTTGACACATTGTGTGAAGGAAGGCACAGGACAAGGGCTTCTGTTTGGAAAATTTAATCCCTTCAGAGTCCACGCAACTTGCAGCATGAATGCACATGAGCACATGTACGAGCACTAAGGAGGTTCCGTTACACAGCACTAATTGCCTTCTACCGCTTTTGCTTGTTTCTGCTTTTGTCATCTCTTACAGCTAATGCATGGACATTTTGATGAGAGCGTGTTTTTATTTCCCAGCATGTATATGAGGAATGGGTTGGTGACACAGCGATTCTGTGCTGAAGTTTTTGAGAAATTCTCCCGGCTTGCTGCCAACAGCCACACCACTTCACGTTCCCGTCAGCACTGTCTGGGCATTCCTACCTCTGCCCTCACAAACACTGTGTGCTGTCCTTTAAAGACAAATCAAAACAGAACAACAAAGCCAGATGGGCATGCCAGTGCTTGCCTGTAATCCTAGTGCAGGGGAGACGTGTGCATTTGAGGCCAGCCTGGGCTACATGCAGAGACTTGGTCTCCAAGCATGCTGATAAATGTAGGCAGCTGGCCCCTGAGTGAATGTAATGTAAGATGGCTGTCACTGGCCTGTGCAAACGAGGGACCTCAGTCATGCAGCAGCATGACATTGACCAAAATGGCTCTGTGCAGTGCCCAGGCTCTCTTGCAGCCATCCCAAGTTTCTAACTATAATCTTGAAAAGAGAGAGTGATGGAGGTTGGAGGGGAGGATGTGAGACCAGAGCTGGTGCTCTCTCACCAACTGTCTGTGTCCACAGATGATTCTCAGGGAGTTCACTGAGAAATTGGCTCAGTTCATTTTTTTTTTATTGTGCTTATTTTTTTCTTGTTGTTTTTTTTCCTCTGTGTCTCAGGTTAGATTCAATCAAGCCTATACAGTATTTGGAAAACAAGGCAGTCTTGAACAAAGCGCTGGAGCGGCTGAATTGGCCCATTTCGTTGAAAGAGCTGTTGGTACTGGAGAATGAAATCTTGGTTGGGAAGATGTACATCCAGCAGGCCATGGAGCTCCAGGAGGCTGCCAGGAAGAACCGTGTCAGCAAGGCCCTAGAGGAGGTGGGTGCCACGGCGTCCTCCTCGCCCTGCCCTCCGCGCCCTGCCCCTCGCTGTTCTCGCCATCTCTACCTGAGCCTTCCCTCTCTCCCATGCACACATACTGACCCCTAAGAAAGATAAAAGAAATGCCATTTGATCTTCGTGTCTTGTTTTTAGAATAAGGGATCTTTCAATTGAAGAACAAAACTGAATGCATTTTTGTCCTGATGAGATGCCCAAACTTTGACCCAAGCCTCAGATTATACTGTTTATGGTATCTTGTCTACTTTTTCACATCAAACATTCACATACATACACACACACACATATACACACACATATATGGATAAGAGTATTAAAGCTTGCTGGGTAGTTGTTTAATAAAAAGGACACTTAAGTTTTTAGTACAAAAATGTTTTATAGCATGAAATCAAACCTAAAAAAAAACCCGATTCACCCTCTCACTGCCTCGTTAGTGCCATTAGGAGTGTTTCCTGTCTTTTTTCCTCCTTAATTTTGTTTTGCATAGTCAGAATGTCTGTGATTATTTTATACTCTCCCCTAAACTTAGCATCATTTCATACAATTTCTGTGTTTTCGCCGACTCTTCAGACCAGCAGCATTGGAGGACGAATATATGATATATTCATCTCGTCACTGAACTGTCTCCTTTGGATTGTTTTTGTTTGGTTGACTTGGGTTGGGTTTTGTTTGTTTGTTTTTTCAGTTTCAGGTTCAGCCTCTCCCTTGTGCCTTGTAAGTGCCGTGGTGCGTACAGTTGAGTTATCTCGTTAGCAGACTATCTTAGGGCGGCACTTAAGGACCGCAGGCATGAACAGTGACGTTATGAAGAAGCTGCTTGAGACAGCGCTCCTTTCCGGCTGCACGCAGGTGCTTGTGAATGTGGGATAGTCCACCCAGAGCCCTAAATCGTTTCCAGATAGCCATCAAACAAAGGTCTGAAACCATTCTGAGACAAATGACCTTCAGGATTCCTTTCTGTCAGGTTCAGCATCTGTCAAATGAGGCAGTTTGCCTGATTTTCGTTCCACAGCCACTGTTTTAGATTCTTGGTTTGGTTTTGATTATTCATACCTAATGCGTTTCTGTAAGTGGGTTTCAGCATGTGTGTGCTGTGTAACATGGGTGCCGAGCACTGAACTCAGGTCCTCTGGAAGAGCGATAGACACACTTGACTGCCGAGCCATCCCTCCAGCATCTTTGCTCTAATTGTTTTTCTTTATTTTTTTCCTCCACAAGTTACACTTTCCCCTCCCTCAGGGTACGAAGCTGTACCTTTTGTGCAAAATAACAAAATCCTATTACAGAGCATCACAGAAATGCTGTTTAGAAAGATTTCCTCAGGATTATCTGCTGCTTCCTTGTAAGGCTTCCTCTGGATACCGGCATTTCTCTGTTGACTGGCAGGTGCCAAAGGGCACCCAGGAATCCAGAAAACCAAACGGGAATTGCCCACATTTCCCTAAAAAAAGGTTGTTCTTCTGCCTCCTCCTGCCTTTTCATCCTTTCATTTACTAAAATATTTATGAGCCCCTAAGGCACCAGATGGATGGGAAGCTCCCACAGCACCTGTAACAGACAGTCCTGCCCTAATTTGAATGTGGAGCAGGAGTCATTGGGTCCCAGGAGATTGCCTCATTCCGCCTGCCAAACAGCAAAATTTGAAAGAATTGTATTTATGCTTTATAGTAGGGTTTTCAGTAGGAAATGTTCTGAATAGAGTCAAAAGAAACCTCTTCTGCATGAGGACAAAGAACAGTGTATGCTAATGAGCTTGTTTGCAAAACTGACAGCCAGGGGCTCACTGTTTGTAGGCTCTGAATTAATTGGACTAATTGTTCTGTTTCTTCACCTTCTTTCCATGAAGTGAAAATAAAATGAATTTCCATAATGTCTGCATTCAAAAATATGTGTTCCCTCACTGTGAACGGGAGCGGACCTGGCACAGGCGCTCACCAGCCTGCCTCATCCTCACCCTTCTTGAGCCCCCACCCCACCCCTCAAAGTGATAGCACGAGACAGTGAAAATGAGTTTTTTTAAGGAAAAGGTAATTTTCTTTCAGTTTGCTCGATTCTGAAGTGTCCCCAGGACATCAAGCAGAGGCAAGACGGTAAAAAAATGTTGGGGCCTCAGGAGAAAGTCTGAGTTGCACACAGATTTGGAATCAGCTGTGGTACCAGGTGGGGGAGACAGTGGAAGGGACCAAGACAGGAAAGGTAGAGAACCAGGGGGCCTGGCTCAGAGAGCTACCGTGTGAGAGCTCACATGAGGTGGCTCAGAGGCCCGGCCGTCAGATGGGCCCAGCTAAGATGCTGTGTGCCCAAGCTTCTCTAAGCCTTAGAGTTTCCTTGAATTCAAACCTGAAAGATCAGAGGACCAACTTGCAAAGAAACATCGAGTCCTCCAGACAGCCGGTGGCGCTAAATGCCGACAGTAAACATACCCAGCCTTTGTTAACTTTTATGCTCCTTCCATTATTAGAAGTACTACCAGTAGACAAGCTCATGCCTTTAACCCCAGCACCCAGGAGGCTGTGAGTTTGAAGCCAGCCTGGTCTCCTTCATAAGTCTGGGGCAAGCCTGGGCTTGCATAGAGAAACTATGATGGCTTAGATAAGAATGGCCCCCACAGGCTCATATATCAGAATACTTAGTCACCGGGGAGGGGTACTGTGTAAAAGATTAGAAGGATGAGGCGGTGTGGACTTGTTTGTGTAGGTGTAGCCTGGTGGGAGGAAGTGTGTCTCCAGGCCCAGTGTTTCTCTCTCTTCCTTTCTGCCCATGGATAAGGACGTAGTTCTCAGCCATGCCCGCTCCCCACCATGATGTTATTGGACTAAGCCTCTAAAAGTGTAAGCAAGCCTCCAATTAAATGCTTTCTTTTATAAGAATTGCATTGGTCATGGTGTATCTCCATAGCAACAGAACAATAACTAAGATAGAAGTCTTGTCTAAAAACGTGTGTAATATGTATGTATGTATGTATGTATGTATGTATGTATGTATGCATATTCAGTGAGGTTTTTATTTTTTAATTTTTCCTTTTGTTTTTATATTAATTACAGTTTATTCACTTTGTATCCCAGCTGTAGCCCCTGCCCTCATTCCCTCCCAATTCCACCCTTCCTCCCTCATCTTCTCCCAGGCCCCTCTCCACATCCACTGATAGGGGAGTTCCTCTTCCCCTTCCCTCTGACCCTAGCCTATCAGGTCTCATCAGGACTGGCTGCATTGTCTTCCTCTGTGGCCTGGTAAGGCTGCTCCCCCTCAGGGGGAGGTGATCAAATAGCAGGCCAATCAGTTCATGTCAGAGACAGTCCCTGTTCCCATTACTAGGGAACCTACTTGGGTATTGAACTGCCATGGGCTACATCTATGCAGGGGTTCTAGGTTATCTCCATGCATGGTCCTTGGTTGGAATATCAGTCTCAGAAAAGACCCCTGTGCCCAGACTTTTTGGTTCTGTTGCTCTCCTTGTGGAGCTCCTGTCCCCTCCAGGTCTTTCTATCCCCCCCTTCTTTCATATGATTCCCTGCACTCTGCCCAAAGTTTGGTTATGAGCCTCAACATCTACTTTGATACACTGCTGGGTAGAGTCTTTCAGAGGCCCTCTGTGATAGGCTTCTGTCCTATTTCCTGTTTTCTCCCTCTTCCGAGTTCAATCCTGTTTGCCTTTCTGAGTGAGGGTTGTTCATCTTACCCAAGGTCCTCCTTCTTGCTTAGCTTCTTTAAGTATACAGTTTTAGTATGTTTATCCTATTATTATATGTCTAATATCTACTTATAAGTGAGTATATACCATGTGTGTCTTTCTGCTTCTGGGATACCTCACTTAGGATGATCTCTTCTGGATCCCACCATTTGCCTGCAACTTTCATGATTTCCTTGTTTTTAATTGCTAAGTAGTATTCCATTGTGTAAATATACCACAATTTCTATATCCATTCCTCAGCTGAGGGTCATTTGGGTTGTTTCTAGGTTCTTGCTATTATGAATAAAGCTGCTACAAATGTGTTTGAGCAAATGTCCTTGTTGTGCACTTAAGCATAATTTAGATATATGCCTAGGAGTGGTATAGCTGGATCTTGAGGTAGCACTATTCCTAATTGTCTAAAAAAGCACCAGATTGATTTCCAAAGTGGTTGTACAAGTTTACATTCCCACAAGCAATGGAGGAGGGTTCCCCTTTCTCCACATCCTCTCCAGCATGTATTGTCACTTGAGTTTATGATCTTAGCCATTGTGATGGGTGTAAGGTGAAATCTCAGGGTCACTTTGATTTGCATTTCCCTAATGACTAAAGATGTTGAGCATTTAAGTGTTTCTCTGCCATTGATATTCCTCTATAGAGAATTCTCTGTTTAGCCCTATACACAATTCTTTACAGACCTAGAAAGAACAATTTTCAACTTCATGTGAAAAAGCAAAAACACAGAATTTCCAAAACGATCCTGTACAACAACAGATTGTCTGGAGGTATCTCCATCCCTGATCTCAAGCTGTACTACAAAGCAATGGTAATAAAAACTTCATGGTACTGGCCTAGAAACAAAATGGTGGATCAAGGGAATCGAATAGAAGACTCAGAAATAAACCTACAAACCTACAGATATTTGATTTTGACAAAGAAGCCAGAACTGTACAATGGAAAAAAGATAGCATCTTCAACAAATGGTGCTGGTCCAACTGGAAGTCTACATGTAGAAAAATGCAAACAGATCCATATTTATCACCCTGCACAAAACTAAAGTCCAAGTGGATCAAAGGCGTCAACACAAAACCAGACACACTAAATCTGTTAGAAGAAAAAGTGGAGATGAGCCTTGAACTCACTGACGCAGGAGACAATTTCCTAAACAGAACACCAACAGCACAGGCTCTGAGATCAACAATCAATAAATGGGACCTCATGAAACTGAAAAGCTTCTGTAAAGCAAAGGACACTATCCTCAGAACAAAACGACAGCCTACAGATTGGGAAAGGATCTTTACCAACCCTC